TGGGCCACAATGCCAAGCTATTTTTTGGTTATAGTTGTCATTGTTGTTTGGCAGGCCTGGGCTGGGTTCAAACCAGCCTGCCTCGCTGTATGTGGCTGGCACCCTAACTACTGAGCTATGGGCACAGAGCCAGAATCTTACTTTAATACTGGTTTATATTCTGCTTCTTCCACTTACTAACATGTTATAGACTTCTTTCAATATGATATACCCAGTAGAGATTTTCATTGTTTTGAGGTCTTCTAAAAATTATTTTTTCTTGATTAGGAACAAATTTTCAAATGTAAAAAAGGGTTTAACACAGTGAAGGGTACGTCCTCTTTTGTTAATTTCCCCCAACCACCCAGTCCTACCCCCTCGGCAACCACTCTTCCTGATATCTTGTGTATTTATTCCGATTTCTAAGATTTATGGTTATATAGATATATTCTTTGAAAGCACATGAATGCTAGCATTCTCTACACATTTCTGCAGTTCGCTTTTTCACTCATACATCTGGAAGATATTTCTATCACAGTACAGATAATTGATCTCATTTGTTATACAGCTGCAAATAATTCTAGCAGCTGAATGCATCGTAATTGATCTAACTAGTCTCCTGTGGATAGACACTTAATAATTATTTGCTATTAGAATCGATGATGCTTTTATAAACGTGCCCTTTGTGTACGTGTGCATCGTAGACATGTGGGATACATTTCTAGAAGTAGAATTGCTGTGCTCGCTTCATCAGCCACACATACCAGAAGTGGAATTGGTAAGTCAAAGGGTTTAATGCATTTTGAATTACGACACTTACTGCCAATTTGTTCTTTACTATGTCTGTGGGACAATTTTCAGTTCCCCCAAAGATAAATAAAACCGATCCCACGTACCCTTACTGAAATGGTGTGTTCCTCACACTTCTTACCTATGTTCAACTCTCAGGTCACAATGGTATTTCAATATAGTATTAATTTACATGTATCTTATTATGAGACAGGATCATGTTTTAAGAATTATTCACATTTCCTCTTCTGAGAACTATCTGCTCATGACATTAGCCTTTATTTTCCGCTGGACTTGTTCTTCTTTTTCTTCTGGATTTATATCTGGCAGGATATTTATTCCTACATGTTGGCTTTTTTCACTTGGACTTTTTAATTAGCTTGTCTATTTTTTTAATCCTATTTTTGCTGAACTAAGTTACCACACGCATAGTTTAATTTAAGGAAAATTGACATCTCTATGTCTTTTCCTATCTAAAACCAGGGCATGCCTTTCTATTTATTTGAGACATAAAGTGGATTTAAAAAGGTACACTTTTAAAAGATGGCTACTTGTGGAGTCCAACCTGAGAAGGGTAAGAATTGAAAGCAGGAAGACCAATTAAGTGGTCTAGAAAAGAGATGATGGAGCTTACACCAGGGTGCGGTGTGAGCAGGTTGTGACCCGCCCTGGAGTTGGAGCCCATAAAACATGGGAATAGCATGAAGGTCAGAACAGGGATGAGGCCTCGGTTTTTGACATGTGCCATGAGTGGCTAGTGATGCTGAGACAGAGGAGACAGGGAGAGGTCCTAGAAGAAGGCGTGCTTAGAGGGCAGGTCCCCAACCTCAAGCCCCAGGGAGGCTATCTACAGAAGCTCTTTGTGGGAACAGCGAATTAGAATCAGCTGGGATGTTAACCAGGCCCTCCACTAGCCCACATGGTACCTTGTGGTTCCCCTTCTGGGAAGATAGAGGCCCAAGGATATACTTGGTAAGAAGTATGAGTGTGGGATTTTAGCCCCTACTCACTCTTTTGAGTGGGTGTTCTTGTGCAACCATGCCTGGAAGCTTTGGTACTGGGATTTCTGATTGATTCATCCAGTCCTATAAAGTATTATGGCTCCTTAAGATTGCCCAACACTGGCCCCTGACTCTCACGTTCTTCTTCTCAGCTAGATCCTTGTCTCTATCTATTTAGAGACCTACTAACGAGTGCTGCCTGATTATGCATTGCCTTGCCTTCTCCTAAATCTTGAATATAGTGAATGGAACAAGACATGAGCCTTCATCTTAGTTACTATAAATCTCAGAATCAAGCTTTTTCCATATTTAAGCAGTTCCTTTTGCCTAATTTGAAAATGACTTGGTCTATTTGAAAACAGCCACATAGAACAAAAAATTTTAATTTACAACTTGCTTCTGAATCATCGGTTTAGTGCCCTGACTTTGATCCCAGCCTCCACCTATGGGTCACCCATTGGTCTAGGTGATACCTCTCCTTAAAGGCAAGGGAGACAGAGGAGGATTCTGAAAAATTCTGTGTTCAGTCTAACATTCCTTGTTCTTTTCCTGCCCCTTCTCCATGAAACAGCAGACTCAAAAATAATTGCTAATGCCCACAATTGATTGGTTACTCCTCACCCGGACTCAGGGATCTTCTCTTCCTTAACCCCCGCCCATTTAGTTATATCATGGGGACTTTTCAGGTGAGCTGTCAGGGTAAATGCTGGCCCTTAGTTCCAACAGTCTTTGCTAGGGGCAGTGTTACACTGCTAGGTAACTGATAATCTCCCACCTCAGGTACATAACATCTTCCCCTCACTGAGATAAGATTATAGGCAACTGATGCACTCATGCCCAGCCCAACTATCAGTCAACTGATTCCAGTTAATCATTTCTCCCCGGACCCATAAAGAACAACAATAATAACTCAGACAAGTAAAGCAAAGCCACAGCTTGGAAGAAAGGAAAACACATGGCCTCTGTCTGATCTACTGACAACCAAGAACGGTCGCTGCTCTGTGCACACAGGAGACGGCCAGGTGCTGCCAAGGCTCATTCAGTTCTTGCTCCTGGTCCCTATGACTTTGCTCAGGGACTCCACTACCCGCAGCCCTGCCCTCCAACTCTCTCCATTCTTATATCAAAGCCTCAGGGAAATAAAAGATGCTTGTCTTCATAAAGTATTGAAGGACCACTGTCTCAGATAAAGATGGCTGTGAGGAAATAAGCATTTCATTCTCTGGTTTTCATTTGATTTGCTATTATTGAGCAATAAACAACCCTGGCTTGAGTCGCTTGTAGTGCTTGGTGGAGAATTTGATCGATTTTTCCCGATATGTCCTGGTGTTCATTACTCCCCTTGCCTTTTTTTTTTTTTTTTTTTTTTTTGCCTCCTTGGACTGGAAAGGCCTCCATGAGTGGTGAAATTTCTAGCCAGAGGAAGACCAAATGGATGCAGTCTCTTAAAGCACCAACGACGGCATGTTCCCCTGATGGCCACTCAATAGCTTACACTCTACTGAGGTCACTTTGTTAGTAGAATGCTGTGGTGTCACAGCTCACAGCAACCTCAAACTATTAGGCTCAAGCAATTCTCTTCCCCCAGCCTCCACAGTAGCTGGGACTACAGGTGCCTGCCACAGTGCCCGACTATTTTTAGAGACGAGGTCTCGCTCTGGCTCAGGCTGGTCTCGAACTCGTGAGTTCAGGAGATCCACCCACCTTGGCGTCCCAGAGTACTGGGATTATAGGCGTGAGCACCCGCACCAGGCTGAAAGTTTTCTTCTTTAAAAAAATTTTTTTTCCTTAGGGAATTAAATATGTTCTCTTTCTTGGGATCTTTAGCTCATGCAGTTATTTTATAAACTTAGTGAATCTGGCAATAACGTAAAACAATGAAACGCTGGGGGATGGCTGTTTCTCTAGGTATGCTAGCATCCTCAAGGCAGACCTAAAAAAATATTCAGTGAGAGAGGAGCTGGGACATCCCCATGTGCGTCCTCTGCATACACGCGCCAGCTACTCCTTCACAAGCAGCTTTACTTGGTAATTTACAAAAGTACTGGCCGCACTCTGCACCTGCCAGTATTGCAGTAATTAGCTTAGGATGCAAAATGATTTCTAAATTAAGGTTCTGGACTTGTAAAATCAAGAAAGCGTAGTCCTGGTAGCCAATGAATAACGGACTAAATAACTAGGACAAGTCTTTTCACTTCCTACATGGGGATAATGCCCAAGGAACAAATTAGATGTTTATGCAGTACCCAGGTGAAATACAGTATAGGTCAACAACGGAAGGTCAATGTTCAATTATTTAGACTCGCTCCCCTTCTCCTGCCATATATACGTGGCGTGAAGGTCTAGAGGTTGGGCATTCTAGGACGCACACAATTAGAGTGACACTTTACCCAGGTAAAACCTCAGACTGGTTCAAGCTGCTAAAATAAATACATGGGGATCCGGCCCTAGAAACACGGGTGGGTCCTGGAAGACGGGGAAGCGGCCACCTGCTCTGTGCACTCCGGGACTCGGGCTCCCCGCGGCCAGGCACCGGCGGCGCAGGACTCCGACCCCGGAGAGGAGAGAGCGCGGGAGTGGAAGGAGGAAGATGGGGAGAGGAGGAGGCCGAGCGACAGCAGCGGAAGAAGAGGAGGAGAATAAAGAGGCGGAGGAGGGCGAGAGGGAGGAGAGCCGGGCGTAGGAAGGGGAGGAAAAGGGAGGAAAAGAAAAAGGCGGCGGAAAACGGACCCGCCCCTCCCGGCCTCCTCCTTCGCTAACTCCGCCCGGCCCTCCCCGGGAAG